ATGCCTTCTTTGTTGTGGATGAGGGTATGGGGAGCAGGAAGGGCCCCAGTGCTGCGTGTCCTCTCTGCTCCTCAGCTAGCGTCTTCCGGGGTGCTCCCTGGAGGCATGACGACATGCAGGCCACGGCGATCAGCACTACCAAGATTTGTGGTCAGATCTTGATCAGGACCCCTGCCCACTGTCAGGCATCTCCCTCTCGTTCCTTCATTAACTTCCTAAAATCCCAAGTACCTTTAGAGGTTCAGAAACCAGAATAGGCCTTCTCCAGCTAGGAGAGAATTTCAAACTGATTTAACAAGAAATTACAAAAATACTTGTTCAAACTAGGGGCTATAGAAATACTGGCCAGAAGAACAAAGAAATTCTCCAGGGAAGCCATCCAATACTGAAGTGGCAGCTTCTAAATGAACAAAAATACTTGTTCAAACTAGGGGCTATAGAAATACTGGTCAGAAGAACAAAGAAATTCTCCAGGGAAGCCATCCAATACTGAAGTGGCAGCTTCTAAATGAACTGAAATTTTCTGCATTTCTCTCAGAAAGTTACAATGATAACTAATTAATGAAGTTATCACAGAAGGACTTCTTTCGAGGTATAATGGAGCATATGACTACTTTCGGAACGGCTTGATATTACCAGAAAGGATTAAAGCAGCTCCCCTCTCCCTGAAGTTTACATTTAAAGTAATAGGAGCCAAGCACTTTGGAGCTGGGAGAAACCTACACAATTGTTAGGTTAAAACCTCACTTTTTAGATAAAGAGGCAGAGGCTCAGAGAGGTCCTGTGACATGTCCCAACCCATAAAGTGACTTTGGGACAGAGCTGCTACCAGTCTCTGGTTTCCAGGGCCCTTGAGTCTAAGGGCTATAAATTAGGTAGATTAAATTTGACACATTTAAAAGAATTATTAATCATCTGGAGTAGATCGTGGCAATTTAGTCTCTAAAAAAACATTTATAAAGTGCCTATTGCCGTGGTGTCCTGGTGTTGTCAAAGCATTTTTGTGAAAGAAGGAAGTTTTAGAGGAACACCAGTCTTTGGTTGGAGGAGTAAGAATTTTTTTGTGTGTATGTGTGTGGCTGGCTGATAGGGGGACCCAAACCTGTGACCTTGGTGTTGTAAGGCTGCCCTCTAACCAGCTAAGCTAACCCGCCAGCCAGGAAGAAAAATCTTGAAGAGAGTATCTATGAATGTCTTAATAAGAACATGCTCTCCAGAAGTGGAGCTCACATTCAGAGATTTCTAAACATCCTTTTTTCCCTTTGAAAATATGTAAATTGAAAGCCAGGCTGCCTAGGATGGGTGAAAGCCAGCTTGTGGGCCTGCGGGAATGTTTGCAGCCAGCCATCTCTGGGAAGGGCAGGCACTGAGGGAAAGGGGACCAGGGCCTTTTCCAGCACGAGAGTTCTATCCAGTGCTGTCATGAGTGATGAGAGTCTCAGACATGAATAGTTCCCAAGGGAGTCAACCATTCCCCTGGGAAAGGGATGAGAATGTTATAGACTAACAGTTTTGTTTGCCTTCCAGGCTTTTTTTTTTTTTAGCTCCCACCAGCCTCAGCCACCTCCCTGTTCCCTTTAAATATGTCCTCTGAGACCTCTAGGTTCCATAGCCACCCACTGCCCTTCCTCCCCACTACACCCCTCTGCCCTTTCCTTTCCTTTCATGCTTCTGGGTTTGGCTTTAGTCAGGAAAAGTGAAAGCAAGTCATGAGAAGCAACAGAATTATCAAAAAAATGAGAGAAACGACAGGCTCATTTGACCCAGCGCTGACTTCCATATTTAGTTCTACATAAGCCTACACAGACTTTAAGCAAAATTACACCTGGGTGTCCTGCTGTCCTCGGAATATGAACAGGTCTTTAAGGAAAACCTACTTTTAAAAAAAAGGACAGTTAAACTGCATGTGAGCTCTAAATAAATAAATAAAAGGATACACTTCATTTCAGTGGCCTAATTAGCAAGAGACAATATTAAGCCTAAGTGTGAACAGAGGACTATACAGTCAAGCACTGCATAAAGACATTTCGGTCAGCAATGGACTGTGTATACAACGGTGGGACTATCAGATTATAATACCGTATTTTTACTGTAACTTTTTTACGTGTACATAAGTTTAGATACACAAAAAGCATTGTATTACAATTGCCTACAGTACTCAGCACAGTAACGTGCTGTACAGGATTGTAGCCTAGGAACCATAGGCTATGCCATATGGCCTAGGTGTGTAGGAGGCTACCCTTCTAGGTTTTGTGTGAGTATGCTCTGTAATGTTTGCACAATGATGAAATTGCCTAATGATGCATATCTTTGAACGTATTTTCATCATTAAGCAACACATGACTGTACTACAGGGAGAGTATCTCCAGGACTATGCAGAATCTACATGATGATAGTTTTCTGTACAGTAGTGTAGATTTTCTGTGGGAAATGTGAATGCAATGGCCCTTGGCAACCTAATTCCATGAGAAATTAAAAGTATAAACACTGAGAGAGCAAGTTTTTTCCCACTCTACTTATTGTATCAAAGAACTTTGCTTAAGTAGAATCTTTTTAAAAAAGAAATCGAGTGAGAAGCCAAGGGATCTGAGACCAAAGTCTAGAATTAGAAATTTCAGTTTGAAGGCTGGGCTCTGCCCTGGAATTGCTTTTGAGGTTCCATTTGAGTCATGCTGCTCAGTTTTCTCATTTAATAAAGGATAACTAGATCACCATAGTGGTGTTAAGATACTATACTAGAAAAGTGTTTTACCATCCAGAGATCAAAATTCCAATATTGGACCCATAAATATTTCAATCACTTTAATTAAAAAATAGATTTGTGGGCCGGCCCGGTGGCGCACTGGATAGTGCGCCGCTTGGGAAGCGCGGCGGCGCTCCCGTCCGAGGGTTCGGATCCCGCCTCACATTGGATTTAGTCTGTGGTTTTTCCATATAGTGCCAGAACGCTACATGATTATTCAGAGTTTGAGCCAGATGCACAGACAGGCAGTCACATGCCCACAGTACAGAATGACCTCACTGAGTAACTCATGTTTCCAGGATGTTGGGAAATTCACACTTGCCGAAGGACCTTGTCCTTGCAATGTAGGGATGTCAGTGGTTGATATGATTCAGCAGTAAATTCTGATCTGAATTTCAACACAACTGAGCAGTTGCTCAAGGGGACATCTGAACTGCAGATCATCTACTTGGCCAAAGATGGAGCAGTCCTCAGAGCAGCTTGATCCCAGAACCAATTCAAATAGATTAGACTTCTTTCTATCTCAGTGAAAATCATCTTGCAGAAGTCGACATTTACAAAGGTACTAGGCATTCATCACCCTTAGTGAATACAACAGAGGGGTTACGCAGGCCGTTTTTCATGCAGCTACTTGTGCTCCTCAACTCTGCCTATGTGCTTGGCTGTCCTTCTCTCTTTGCCTCAATTTCTAAGTTCTGGCTTTCGGGACTGGAGAACAGGTTTGAGTCAAGCGCCTAACAGTCCAGTCCCAGTTTGGCCATGGGACAAAGCAATCATCTATATAATTGGAAGACATTATAAATAGGTATATCAGAGTAAAGCTGCTTGTTTTTTTTCTGGGCCACTTAAGGACAGTTCCCATGGGCCCCTGAAAAACAGTTTTTCTGCTGGAGGACTATTTGCACAGAGCCTAATGAGATATTAACACAGAGCCTAATAGAAACTTAAAAGTCATTCATAGATTGTCCCATTCTCTGTAGTTGTACTTCACTGAGCAAACACAATATAGGCTTTGAACACTTGGAATTGTTGAAAAAAATCAGGCGGAAATGATTCGCTTTACATAGATTTGTTATTTAATTATGAACTTCCCTAGTACATTTAATCACCTATTTGTTAAATGAAGTTTGTCTATTTGAAACAATGTCAGCTATTTTTTTTTTTTAAAGACCAGGATCATGCTTGCAAAATAGAGATGGCAACTTCATTAAAGTGTAAAATTCAGAAACATTCAACCATTATCCTCATCTAATTCCACATCCCCTTCTCCTTCCTTTCACAAAAGAAAAGTTAGGTACTCAAATGAAAGGGTTCTTGAAGGAAGAATTTGGCTCTTTCTAGTTTGTTAGACATCACAGTTCAACAATATTTTCTTCTTCACCCATGCCTTTTGCTAACTTTCCAGTAAGAACGCCAGGTAAGTTAAAGTGGCTCCATAATTCTCCGATGATTTCTTAGCACAAGTAGTACTGTCTTGAAATTGAGAACTTTCATCTTCCTGGGAACTGAATCAGCATGCCTTTCCTTTTTCATTCACTGATCCTCACGGGGATTTTTACTTCAGTCTGACGGAGAAGATAGGTGACAATGCAAGGCTGTAAAGGCTTTTGTTTTGGGTGGAGGTTTGGGGACTGAGGGTGTCTACTTGGTTGCCTCAGGCCCCTCGTGAGAAGCCTGGAAGGAGAGCAGTTAAGCCCAAGCTTGGGGTTTAAATTCCAGCTCTGGCATTTACCAGCCATGTGATCTTGGACAATGGCTTTGAGCCTGTTTGCTTCTGGATGATATGAGAATAATATGTAACATGTACATCAGAGAGTTGTAGAGAAGACTGAAGTCATATATGTAAGGCACTCAACGTCATGCCTGGAACTTAAATGAGTATTCAACTAATCATTGTTATTATTGTTGTTATTTTTGTCTGGGAAGACATCATTCTTCGTGTCAGGTTATTCTCTTGCCAAATGTCACACTTCTGTTCTCTAGTTTCTGGTAGACTCCCTCTTCCTTCAGCTAAAAATAATGTAGTTGTTTCATTTCTACGCTTACTCATCCTGTTAGCTTACCCGAGGTGAAACGAGGTGTGCACACAGTAATAATTTCTAATAGAGACACCAATTTTAATTTCAGGAATTCTGCACAAAAAACTTCATGCATAGGCAAATTTACACTGGGAAAATGCCAGGCTAAATCATAAGTTATTATTCATTGAATGTTAACAATTTTATAACTCAAACTAATTTCCTTAATATGACCCTAGATAATGTTTAATTTGGATAAAGTACACATCATTTTGGATGAAATGGTCTTAAACGGCTGCATTGTGGAAACTAACCGGGCAAGAATTCTTGCCCCTCTACTAATTCTTGATAAGATGTCAGAGAGCTGAATGGAAGGCTCTGCCAGACAACATCAATTTATAGGAAATGCCAACACCGTGGAATACGTCTCAACATCTATAGCCCAAAAGAATCTGGAAGACCACACATTGCAAAATAGGGTGTCCTTCCAAAGACATAAGTAGGTATTTTCCACAGTTCCTAAGTGCAAAACAAAACTGTATTTTAAAATATGTACAAAGAAAAATTTTCTCTAAAGTGAGACAAATTTTGTTTTCTAACTGTATGCATATTTTTCCCACTTCTTTAAATTCTGTTGAGTACCTAAGGAACCCTTTTTGGTCTCTGCTGCCTTTTGCAAATTACATTGAAGAATAGCAGGATGTTGGGAGGAAAGTATGGCAGTTCTCTATCAGCCAATTTTTAAATTGACTTAAACACATGGCATTTTGAGTAACATCATTTTCTGAATGCTACCTTTTTCCTTAAAAAAATCTTAGTAAAACTTACTTTTTAAAAACTTTACTATAATGTGTACCTAATAAAGACTGAAGAATTAAATTTTAATTGCCTATGATATCCATTTTAAGGGCACTTAGCAATTACAATGCCATCATGTAATTAACTCTATAGTGAATGTTACTATCAAATAATGGATGGTTAAACATTAAAAGAGAGCACTTACAACTATCCTTTATGCCATGTAAGGGTTTGTCTCACAAATAAGCTTGTTTGTTAATGAAATTTACCTTAGTTCAAAGTGTAAAAATAGAATACAAGAGAATACCCCTGTTCAGGCTGGCATGAAATGAATCTTCCTCTCTGTCCCTATTACTCCTTAACTCCTTTCTCCTGGAATGTCTTGAGGCAAACTATTAAGTCATTCATTATACAAGAACAATGCCCTGCATTCCCCAAAATCTTCCTATATGGAGGCCTGCCCGGTGGCGCACTGCTACAGTGTGCCGCTTGGGAGTGCGGTGGTGCTCCCGCCGAGGATTCGGATCCCACATACAGACCCGGTCCCCCTCACTGGCTGGGCGGGGTGTGGGAGGCACACCCAGGGGGGCGACCCCGTTGC